GAGAGTACAAGCACAGGCACGCGAGACGGTAACAACGCGGCCGCGGTGTACCAGACAAATCACTGGGCGCGCTTAAGTCCCCGTCGAGGAGCCGCGCAGGCACTTCCCGGGAATTCGCGGCGGAAAGAAGTAATATCATTCAAAAGCGGCGGAAGTTATTCCTTGATGCGAAAGTTTCTCCATTTTACATCGGCCGGAATAGTTTCGGGCGGAAGGGGCGCGAAAAAGACGGGGCGAGGGGGGAAAGGCGCACGCGGCGGGGGCAGTGGAGAACGCCAGGCGGTGGGGAGAACGTTAGTTGCGGGCAAAACTCCATCCCGGCGATAACTTTTCCAATTATTATCAGATGGCAAATGGACACCCCTTTGTGTTTTCTACGGCCGTGACGCGGCGCGCCCGGAAAGTGCATGAGAACTCGGTAACTTAAATTGTAGCGTACGCGGAAGATTTCGGTCCGGCAATAAAGTCCGTCGCGATTACGCGAGACGTCTATTTGCGCGGGCGCGAATCAGCCGGGCGAACGGATTGCCCATCTAATGTTATTTGGGATCCATCTCCGACTCGCACCTGTCGTTCCTACTGGGTTCTTCGTCGATTTTTCCACACTGAGAGAAGAATTTAGTAAATATTATCAAAATTTGGTTACTATTACTAAATGGTAGACGTAAATATAGCGGGCCAAAGCTATGGCAATACTTATTAATTAATTTAGTTCTGTAAAATAAATTATTTATTTGATAGAAATAAAGTTTATTTTCTTCCAAAATATATTTGGTAAATAAAACTTATTGAATAGTTGAGTAAAATAAGCGATTTTGTAATAGTTACAAAATTTTTGGTAGGTTCCATCAACCATCTGTAATAATAGATAGTGAAACGATGTAATAGCTGCAAATAAATGAATTTTTCGTTGTGCTGCAACAAAACATACTTATACTGGTAACAAAATAGAACTCTTTTATTACATGGGATATAACAATTTCATAACAATTATCAAATATCTGTTCATAACTGTAATATATTTCATATTAAATATTTAACATTACATTTATAAGTAACTATTACTAAATTATTTAATTGCTGTTACTGCAATTACGTCATACTCCCGATCTATTAAATATTTGGTAATTATTATCATATTCAGTATTGTATAGTTACTAAGGATTCAACGAATTTCTGTAACTAAATGCAGTTTGTTATAGTTACCAGTCTTTTCTCTCAGTGCAGCAACCGCGTTGCTACGACGCCGTGCAATCTTCAAGTATCGACTACTAACAAGTAAACCTACCCAAGTGTTACATTCCGATTTTGATGGGCTTTTAAGGGGATACTGGAGTCGATGACGAACTCGAACAATGTCGATAATACAGAGACAATCGTCACTAACATAATCACACTATCCTTTTCGTATTTCTTGTATATACAGAACTTACATGAATGTGTGTTGCTTTGTTTTACCATACTCAACGGAAAACCTAATATGTGCAGAAATCTTTCTGCAAACTTTTTCGATATTCTTAAGCTTCCAAATGCGGATGCGAAGGTAATGTTCTTCAAAATTTTTCTGCTTGGAGCATCCACAATTTCGGTATGTGCAAGTTGCAGAACTTTTGGATTAGGAAAATATTACGCTAACTGACAGCTTGAGATTTTACATTAAAAATTTTTTGTTCGTTTTCGACACATATCGAGCAATGCTCTTATTTATTTTTGCACGTACTTTCATTGCGTAAAAACATTTGTAATTCTGTGTAACCAATACGATGTAAACTTTGCAGTGAAAAATGGCAGTGTTCTGTAAAGTTCGGTAAAGTTTTTAGCTTCAGCATCCCCTTAACATGCTGTAGTTTAGGTCTAAATAAAAGACACATATTGTTTTATACGTAAAATATGGCCAATAAGAGGGTGAAACACCTTCTAACAAAAAATCGGTTTTAATATTTCTGAGCGAATATTATCGGAACGGTAAATAATACAAAAAAAAATTTTCAAATAAAAGTTTTATGTGTTTTAATGAGCTTTATAATTAATGCACTCAGATTTTTTGAAAATATAATTTTTTCTCGAAATCCCTTTTTCCCTCCTTAATTCTGTAAAATCACTTTGCCGAGAAATCCTCCTTGTTTTCTGTCATTTAAAGGCACTAAGTAGAACTTTAGTTTCTATGAAACATTCTGATCCTTCAAAATATACAAATATTTGGAAATGCTGGTCGAAAGTACAGCTATAATTTCGATTCAGGATTATATAAGCATTTTTCAACATGTAACGTTATCGACATCAGACGATTAACGTTAACCGTCAATGCATATCATCGCTAATACATTCTACTCGTTGAAAAATATTTTTGGCTGTTGTTTAACATTAGAACCATCAATCATTAAAGATTTATTTTTATCAAAATGACCGTTTCGAAGTTTTTGAAAAAATACATATTAGGTACTACATACAATGTAGTATCTTAAAACTTAGCAATTGCGAATATAACGTTTGTAATGTAGTGACATTTATAATCTTGTTTATATTATTTCTTATATTATAATCTCCCATATTTATTAATGTAATCATGTATCATATTGATACCATACTGATATCACACGATTCGAGACAAAACGGTAGCTGCGACATAAAGCGTTGAAAAAGAGAGCAGAGAAGAGTTGAGTTCGGAGACGCGGAGTCGCAAAGTTGTGGAGACACAAAGTCGTAGAGGTAGATCGAGTCGCGAAACGAGCGAGAAACGAAGATTGTTGTTGCGTCGTCACGTATAGAAAAAGTGAGCGAGTAACGAAAGGTATCGATCTGCGTCGAGAGGTAGCGATCCGAACAAGGCGAAGTCAAATCCAGACAAACACTCGTACCTCATAAATCGATTTACGTGGGAACGACTTCTTAATTGAACATCACTTATTACCATTTTAAAAGAAAGAGAATTCCCACAGTAATTATATGTAAATAAGCATTTTTTTCCTTTGTAAAGGGGATAAGTTGTGACGTGGTAATGAATCTAAATCTTTGCGGCAAGAAGTACCGTAGATTGCGTATCTAATATCGGGTGGGAACCCGGCCGAGGAGAGTGAGAACTCACTACGCGAGGAGGCATCTGACGCGACTATTTTTTCGTTAACCCTTTCAGACCTCACGCACATTATAATGTACACTGGTTTACTACATCAATATCTGAATTAAAATATTGAATCTGTGATAGCAACCATGTATACACTTTTGCTTTGAGTATATTTACTAAGATTAGAGTCCCTATAGTAAGAGGCCTATGTTGTCAAACTTTCTATTGGTTTTGACAAAATATGGCAGAACCAATAAGATGTCTCGAATCTATGCTTTGCGAGCAATATTATTCAAATGATACAAAAGGAACAAGAAAGAAAGAAACGTGTTTTCAATCATTTCATTTTCTGTAATTTATATATATCATAATTTATATATATATATATATATATATATATATATATATATATATATATATATATATATATATTACACATTCAATATAACATAACAAGTTAGAAAATTATTTTTGACACATTATTATTATTCGACACATTTGCATGCATTACAATGTTTATATATATATTATTTTATTATAAATATTTATTTACTTCTGCTGCTTATTACTTCTTTATATAACTACTATTAGTACTTTAATATTAATAAACATTAGTCTTGACTAATAATGTTTATACTGTCACGCTCTATGAGTTCTCCACATCTTAGAAAAGTCTTATTTCGGCTGCATTCCGAAATTCACTGTTAGTACTGAAAATCTATAGTTCATGTTACGTATACTATAGAATTTCAATACTGGCAGTGAATTTCGGAACGCAACCTTCATATCATCTAATCTTATCTCATCTTGTCTACGACATGTTTTGTCGAATTAGAAACAGGCCAGACTCTTACTATAGGGATTCTAACTAAGATTGTATACAACCTCCATCTATCGAATTGTTTTTGAAACACATGACATTTCTTGACATTTTTTGACATTTTTTTTTTTGCTTTAAAAAAGATCAGGTCTGAAGGGGTCAAGTTATTTAGCTACAGGCGCATTTTCGCTCGACAGCTTGCGGCTTGCGTTCTCGTGCTTTGTCGTGTTACAATGTCTGACCAGCTGAAGAGAGTGAGACAACGAGGAACCAGGGAAAAAGTGCGCAACAGCTGGCCGGACTGAGAATAAGAGAGAAAGGGAGAGTCTGAGCTACGGCAGATGGGAAGAGAGACGAGGAAACGGAATGACCACCTCACACGTGAGACTTCGCGCGAGGACCCGCGCTATGTATCGAGGTTTGCCCGGCAAAGGGGTGCTGGTCCGATGGACACCCAGACAGTGAAAGAGCTCTTATAGATGCATCTCGGACGAAAGAGCTGAGAAAAGTCAGAAAGAACGTCTCCTCGCCGTCCGTGTGGCCCATGAAGTAAGAGAAAAGGAGGTCGAACTGTGTGAAATGAAAGTGGTCCTGATTCTTGTGTTCCCTAATTGAGAGGGAATAATTTATGGTTGGGCACTATTTGTAAAGCAATTAGTTAGAACGAAGTAAAAGGCCTGATCTTTGTAGCTGCACTGCTGAAATGCAAAAAGTTAGAGTGTGAAAACGTATTTGTCTCATTTCAATATATTGCATCAGTTCAGCAGTGCAGCTGCAAAGAACTTAAAATATACTTGTCTCACTCTTATTCAGTAGTGCAGCTCTTTAGTTAAATAGCTGCACTACTAAACTGGTGCAAAAAGAATGAGACAAGTATATTTTATCTCGCTCCAATTTATTGCTTTACAAATGGCGCCCAACCATAAGGAGTTATTCCTTTCAGCAGATTTCCTCTCAATTAGACACGAGCCAAAACCACTTTCTCTACTCGCGCCCTATCATGTTCGATCTCCTTATCTCTTCATGGTGTGATCAAAGAAGCAGATTTGGAAATGGCGCGCGCGGCGCCCGCGAAGGACCAATAAGACGACCGTACTGATCCCTGCCACGGATCCTAGATCCCAGGAGCACCTGGCTAGCCGACCGCTCTGCACTACATGGTACGGCAGCGAGTAAACAGGATGTGTGAACGACGAGTGAGTGAGCGAGCGTGCGAGCAATTCGGAGAGGACACAAACAGAGGCGAGTCACGTTAGATCCTGGTGAGTGATCCTTGGTGAGACGAAGCTTTTATACAGCCGCGAGCTGATGCCGTAAAATGTTGTGAATCGTTCGAAAGAACGAGCACGACGGTGTCCGTCATCTCGCTTTCACGACGGCCGTTAAGGATGTATCTGAGATACAATCGGTGACAAAAGTGCTTGAAAAACGAAAAATTGGAATATCTGCTTCAAACGTGTTGTAAACCTAGTGATAAGTGATATAAACAGTGGCTAACATAATATATTTCTTATTTAAAAAGTTATTTTTTACTTTCTCAACAGTTTATTACTTTTATTTGCTTTTCTTCACCTTTCTATAATAAAACTTTTGACAGGGAAAATGCCTTGAATTCAACTTTAGAACATTAAATTTTGTATTTATTTAACATCAATATCCATCAGTGCAAAGGAGAAAAAGTAATTGGGATAAGTTAAAACAGGTAAATATGCATTGTCTGAACAATAACTATCAATATTATTTATTGTTATTATAAATATTTAATGAAAAAAGTTAAACGTAGCAACCATGTACCATGTAGTTTGTGGCTTGTATATTGGCAGTAATGCACTGTCCTGGCAGGTTAAATGAAACAATAAAAGCCTCAAATTTTACACTTATCTTATTGTTCATCGAAATTATTTAATTTATATTCTTGTCCTCTGCATGAAACAATGCAGACAAAACAAGAATTTACGACGTAACTTTATTATACTGATTTATAGGTTATTCATTTGATATTAGCTGCTTGCAACGTTACCGCATTTCCAATTATTAACTTCTTATGATAATCGCAAAATTGTCACAAATAAAAATTAATTTCTCTGAAACCGTGTTGTGAAAACTAATCAAATTCCGCAAATAGTTCCGATAATTCAGGATTTATATGTATAAAAATACTTAAATTTTTGGTACTATTTTTTCTATACGTTTTTACTCTTCACATTCAGAAAAGTTGCTTTTGCCATAAGAACACGTGTAAAATTAACATAATAATTACTCTTCAACGGTTTAGTGAATCGACTTGAAATTTTTTTTCAGTATATTATAGATAATTAAGGAAAAGTTACCCAAAGTTTTATCAAATAGGTACTATTTTTATATAGCTCAGATACATCCTTAAGTTGCGATACATGGAACGATCGTTGAGTAAATCGCAAATCGGCCGTCCACTTCCGGGCTCGTCAGCTGTGCAGTCAACCGTATTGTTAATATGTTTACGTGCACAGTTTAGTGTCGTAATGATAGCTTTTGTGGTAACGCGATTTCGTTGCGGGATAAGGTATGCGGAGAAAAATAATTTTGCTCTTTTAGCAAAATCGTCGTTGCTACTGCATGTTCAAAGTGACAGCAAAAAAATTTAGTTGACGTAACTAATTTTGCAAATTATTCGTTATCAGAGCAGAAGTAATTTCGTTGCCAGGATAAAAAAATTTGTCGAGTATATTTGTTCTAAGAATCATATTAATTTGCTATCGATGCAAAATAATGTCCTTAGCAAATTTATTTTTATTGGAGCAAAACTGCAATTGCTTATATAAATCCATCATAGTTCTTACAGCAAAATAATTTGTAGATTCAGCAAATTATATCCAGCAAATAGTGATTAGTATTCTTAGCAAATCTTTTTACTGTCCATGTAATAACGATTTTGCTAGATCAGCAGAAGATTTACGGGCCAGCAAATTATTTTTCTCCGTGTGTAAGCGTTTGTGTCATGTTAGCGCCGTATCGAAAGAGAATAAAGCGCGTTACATGAAATATCGGTGGAATTATTGAGAGCATCCATGTGATGTCGAGTTGACCTAGTTCGTCGAGTTAATCAGAGCGCCCTAATAATGTTGAGTCGTGGAAAATATTTGCGTCGGGAGAGACACAATTAGATTGCGTCTAGCGTCGGGTGAATTGTCTCGCGTTACTTATCGTTCGTTTGGTGAATATTGGTCGCGTAAATTATTATCTATCGTTATTACTGCTGTGCGTTGTTGTTGTTCTTGCGTTTAGTCGTTTGTAAGATTGTAAATAATGCGCCCAACGGAGAAGACCCGTGAAAGTATTGTCGCGAGGCTGAAATCTAGCCGTGAAAGTTTCGCGTAGCGTTATTTGCTTTACGTATCGTGCGGCAGGCAGGCGACGCGCCAGATAAATTGGTCGCGTAATTGGCTTGTAATTATCTGCGCATTAGAGTAATTTATTATTTATTCGATTTCCCTTCTTTAATCTCATCCTCTTCCATAATTTTGTAACGTCTTCTTTTTTTCCTTATAAAGAAAAAAAACTTTTAGTTTTTAGTAGTCTAGTGTCTAGTTTTTAGCTTTAGTAGTCTAGTGTTAATTCTCGGTATATCATTGTGGTAATATTTGTGGTAATAATTAAAATAAAGAATTAATTCATTTCTTTAAAGAGATTCTTTTCATGTAATTTTTCTCTCAAATTTTTTTCTCGAATCGTATTTTTAAATAACTTGTTTTTATTCCCTTTTTCATTGCTCTGTAAAAGACTCTTATTAAAGAATAAAAGTTATTAAATATACATTTAAATAGTTAAAATTGCTTAAAAGAGGAATTAAATTTAAAAAATAAAACAATTAAATTGCGTCCAATGACCTGTGACGATGCACCGAGCGCTAAAAGAATGTCAGAGCGAGCTTTATCGACATTTTTTACTTGTGGTATATTCGTTTATGGTTATACAGAATCATAAATCCTTTTGCAAGTTAATAATGTAAATGTTAATTAATGAGGCGCTGGTAGAGTTCATAATAAGAATGAGAAAAAGTTCAGAAATTATATCTGCTCATTCTTACTTCAATACATACAGAACTGTCAGCAGAAAAGAACAGTCGCTTTATACAAAAGTTCTGCAGGTTGTGCGGGCATCAAAAAGGCACCGCACCTTTCACAAATTGCGTGATAAAATACTATTTCACCCTCAGAACTTAACTTAGAAGCTTGATATAAAAAAAATAGTTTATATGAAAATATCAAGTACTAATCTGTATGTAAATGACGTGTATATGTGATGTAGCAGGATATAACAGAGTAGATAGTTTCCGCGTTACCATTGAGAAACGCTGCAACTGTTCTCTTCTCTGTCACGAACTTTATATTCCGTTTTTGCTACCAGCAATGTAAATCATAAATAACAACACGTGCATACATATACTAATAAATATATAATTTTTTATTGACAGACAATAGCAGTAGCTCTGCTCACTTCTGATCCTAAGAGGTTGTTCATAGAGTGTATGGAAGAATGTGTCGTTTAAAAACGCTCAGGTAAATTAATATTTGAATTATTAGTATTTTTGCATTATTTATACTATTCCTTATAGTTGAAGTAGCTTATACAGTGTAAATTCAGTTGCTCAATAAATTTATAAATGTTTCCTTTAAAAGAAGTTATAGAGTGCACATGATTTAAACATGGTCTACAATGCGAATTTAAGTCTTGGCCAATCACGATCAGTTATTCTCTACATATTCGATTGTGATGTCCATTTCTTAAGAATTAAAACTTAAATTCGCATAGTAGAATACAATAATATTACAATGGTCTACGTAATTTACATTGTCTACAAAGGAATAAAACCGTGTAAACGTTAAGTAAATTACACGTAAGTAATTCATATAGACGTAACCTTGAAATCTACGGCACAACCGTGGCTAAAACATCCTTCTATTTGACAGATTACACTAAGATGACTTATCATGTTTGCCTGAATCGGTAACGTCGAGAATGTCAATATAGTAATCGGCAGACATTACCGACATTTTTATTGCCCTGCGTATAAGAGCGCATGCCTGCCAAAGTTGGGAAGTCACCCAGACATCCCCTTAACGAACATTATTCTGACTCGTAGCTCTTCAAGTTTCTGTGTTCGTAGGCCAATTACGCTTCTGAATGCGAGTTAGAGATAACCAATCAAAATTAACGTCGAACACGTTTCAAGTGATCTCTTGTGTATAGAAAGTGTATTCTGCATGCCGCTTTGACGAAGTTCAAATCGCTAAATTTGCAAAATTCATTTTCCCTCTGTACTAATATAAAATAACATCCGCCTCTTTGATTTTCAGAAAGTCACTCCTTTCAACTGCCAGCACACACCGGCGCTTACAAATAAACAAGAAACCAATACAAACGTAGATTAAAGGAAACGTTTTTACTCGAATTGTGTCGATCTCCGTACTTGTGTAAAACTGCCTCTCGACCGGTGCGACTGCCGACCGCTATATTTCTCTTTTGAAAGGAGGGCAGTACTTCACGACGCCCGGAGGTCTGAAGGAACACGCGTTCCCGCCCTTGCAATTTATAAATGTGCTCACTTTACGCTACCATTGGCTGTTTCGGAAGTTAACGGGGCTATAACGCGAAAGGCTACAAGAATAGGCTTTTCTACGGAAAGGAATCTCTGAGCGTGAAACGACGGAGGCGTGAATAATTCGCAAAACAAAGCGTTCAAAGAGCGGAAAATGAAATTATATCCTTGCGCGCGACCGGTACGACGTGTTCGCTTCGACGAAGGCGAGCACGTTGAGAGAGACAGAGAGGACGAAGGAGAGTGGCAGAGAGAGACAAAGACAGACAAACAGAGAGAAAAAGAGAGCGAGGAGCCAACGGATTTCCTGCTAGCGTTACGAGTCAATTTGCAGGCCGGGTTTTGCCCGCTTCCGAGACATTCCGCGTCTCCGTCGCGGCTTCTACCGCGGCGACTCGATTGTTTTTAAGCGGAGGAGAACTCGCTCGACCGTATTGGTCGATTCGAGGCGACAACAGCAACGACGACGGCGATGACAACGATGGAACTTTCTGGCGACAATGGCGAGACTCGAGTTCCCTGGCCGGTCGGTCAGGCGAACCGCCAGCGAAGTAATGAAATGGACCGAAGGGCCCGTGCTCGAGAGAAAGGGAGAGACAGACAGAGAGACAGAGAGAGGTCCTGGCCCGGAGAATTCCTCCGGGTGAATGGAAATCCTCCCGCGTGTTTACAAACAAGCGAAACTGGTTCCGAAGGTTCTCGCTTATGCGAGAACGGACACGCCCTAGCCGAGCGTGCGAAAGAGCCTCGCACGGAGGAGGAACAAAGCGGCCGCTATCCTTTGTTTCAACCATTCCGCAGCCCACAGGGAGGATATACTAACGTGAGTGTGTTAATTAAGACCGACGGCGGAATAGGTGTATATACGCGCCGTGAAGAAATATATCGGACGAAAATCTGGAGTTTTCGTCGGCGCTCGCGGCAGCGTAGGCGGCGGCGGCGACGCCGCCGCTCGAACATAAATCCCGGCCCGTTCTTATCCGCTGTGTCCATCGGTGCTAAAAGAACTCTCGAATCAGATTTCTCAGGGCGGTCTCTTTCGCCGAGTTATTACGCTCCGGAAATCTCTCGATTAATCGTCCTTCTCTTATTGGGCCTGTTCTTATCCGCCGTCGCCGTCGCCACCGCTGACGCCACTACGAGCTATGGCGGATATTTCGGTGGACGGGCTACTTGTACGCGAAATCGCGAAATTAACACATTCCCAGATTAGGATTCATGTGGCATACATGTTTTGGGCATCTTAATCTAAGGCAGTCAGATTTGCAGAATATAAAATCATGACATGATGTTAGAAATGTTATAAAAATTTAAAACTCCACACTTTAACATTCCATAAAAATTTAAAAGTATATACACTGAGAGAAAAATGTATGATATTTGGAACTATAATGGCATAGTAAAAATATTATAGTTAGGAATATAATTTTTATAGTAAATGTTACTATAATATTTGTAATATTTACAATATAAGTATAGTATAACTGACCCGTGTAAAATTTTTACCAAGAATTATAATTATTTGAAATAAAAAATATGGTAAGGTGGCAAATATTGAATGGTAAGAGAAATTAACTATTTTATATAGTTATAGTCAATACAATTGGAATATTTGGCAAATATAGATACATGTAACTATATTCCCAAAAGGTGCTTTACCATATATATAGAGTAATATAAAGATGGTGACTATAAATCTGTGTTCATTCTACTACATCTTCATGTTTAGATGAACTATAAATATATGTTTGAGGCCAAAATGATAACTATAAAATATAGTGAGATTATAGTTATTCCAACTATTTTTTTCTCTCAGTGTACATATCAATATGTTTCGATATGATACATAATAAATGGATTTTAGATAGAAGATAATTTTTCTAAATGTAAAATAATAATGTAAAAATGTAAAATAATAATGTAAAATAATAATGTAAAAATGAACATTTATGTAAATTTAACATCGTTTCCGTCCTCGTTTATTTATATTGTAAAAATGAAAGTCCGAGTAAAAATCGCACACATTCCTTCTAGCGTGAAATAATAAATTCTTATGTCTCGGCAGGTCTTTGTGGACACACGAAGCATGACGCCTCAATTAAGTCTACATCGATTAATTAGAGTCCCGGTGAGTTGTTTACAGACTGTAATTTCAGTTGGGCAAACTTCCGATTCGTCGGAGCGTCTGTCGTGGAAATTAAGATCGAGGACTCCGCTCGGACGTGTTATCATCGAAAGCGGCTTCTTACAAGAGCCTCCATACTTCAGCCGGAAATGCACCCGTACATCCGGGCCGCAGCTGGTTGAGTAATTCACGTTGTACCTGCAACTAATCTACTCTCGAGCGTCGTGGAAATGCGTCACTCCGAATGCGGGATTCTAATCCCGATCTTCATTTCCGCGACTCTGAAACGTCCGATTGGACGCGACTGTACGCAGGGAAAAAGATTTCTTTGGATTTAATAAACTTTATTGCATTCAAACAAATTTCATCATTGGAATGATCCGAAGAAACTAATGGCCATTCTACAATTGCGTGATCGTTAGTGATTACGATGACCAGTAATTAAATAAAGTAAATAAATAAAACACTCTGGTCAGGCCTTACGAGCACACTTACGCAATTATAAATATTTCGGTCAATAAGTACGACTGTACGATTGTGTGGACTTTTTAAATAATATACAGGGTGTCCCAGAACAATCTACGAATCTCTCGTGAGAACGTAGAGCGGGTCGAGATGAACATAAAAGTCCTATACCGTTTTGCAATATTTATAATAATAACCGAGAAATTAATTACGAAAGATTAAGGAAAAGCGTGCGTTGAATGGTAGAGGAGCGATCGAATCTGCGCAGCCCAATAATATAGCATGCGGATGCCGGTGCGGGATGAGTGGAAGAACATCGCACCAATGCCTGTACTTATATCCAATGATGCGATTTCGAACCCGCGCACGCTGATTGAGCACGCAAACAAGATCCGGATCCGCGCTGCAGCTCGAGCGCTTCTCCTCCAACTATTCAGCGCGCGTTTTTCCTTAATTTTTCGCAATTAATTTCTCAACTATTATTGCAAATATCACAAAATGATGTAAGACTTTTATGTTCATCTCGACCCGTTCTACGTTCTCACGAGAACTTCGTAGATTGTTCTGAGACACCCTGTATATCTTCTTAAATAAAATATTTATTTGAAACGAAAAACATATTAATTTTAGCTTCAAAATGATATTGTTTCATTTAACCGATCATATCACAGGATCCAAACGTTTGCGTATCTTTCTGTAAAGTTTCGATCCTAAACAACATGGCCGACACCCTCGTCCATGCTGACCGCAGTTGAGCATTGCTTAACTTTGATGATCAAGCAAGCTGCGACGATCCTTATGCTCCGAAGATATTCTTACGACTTGTACTTATACAATGTATTCTTATAGTGTTCACGGTACATTGTAACATTTACTGACAAGTATTGAGACAACACAACAACATTCGACTTGCGACGTATATTAATTAAATGTATATTAGTGAACCAATGATTCCATGATTGCTTTCATATTTTTAACATAATATTTTAATGGTTAATCCAAAAAAAGATTGAAACAAATTCTAAGAAATCCAAATCAAATAACTCGAATTATTAAATCTAAAAAAAGTTTTGAAGAATATTATTTTAAATAATAGTGTTTCTTTATCAGGTATAAATAATATGGTTATCTTCAACGAAATAATACAACTTTTCAACATATTTCTATATGAAACAACATGCTTTTCTATATAATTATATTTCGATAATATTTGCATTTCTATATAATAAAGAAATTGTTTTATTTATTGTAACTAAATAATTTTTGTAATATATTTATTGTAATTAAATAATATATTATTCGATTGAAAGATATTATTTTTCAAATAGTATTTTTTTTATTACATAATAGTTTTTTGAATAAGACAAAATTTTTATTGAAAAAAGTAATATTTTGTATAAGCATATGTTGTTTCAACCAAATATCAGTCAGACAAATAAGAATGTTAAATTAAAAAAAGATCTTTTTCTCTGCATGAGAGAGGTGAGGAAAAGAGGTAAAGAGAGAGACAGACAGAGACAGGGACAGAGAGAGAGAGAGAGAGAGAGAGAGAGAGAGAGTGTGGGTGAGCTATGAAATCGTGGTGCGAATTAAAACGCGCGACATCTCATTCGAATATCTAAAGGTAACACGACGCGCGGCCGCGATTAAACCGAATCGACGCGATTCGACGATTGAACCGGCGCCGGTGTTCGGCGCCGATCGCGGTGCCGTTATTATTCGACGGGATTATTCTACAAAATTCAACGCGCGCCGTTATTATCCGACAGCCCACACACGCCGCGTTATTATACCGGCGACGCGACGCCGCCGTAATACCGTTCGTTCGTTCGTCGTGTGCACGATCGAACGGACGAGATCGCGTTGGCGAATTAATAGCGGAACTCACAATGCGTGGTCGCCGAGTGTATATTATATACCCCGCTTCTTTACAGACGGCAAGTTCGCCGGGAGAGGGCGCGTTATTTCCTCGGGGTCGGAGAAACACGGAGGCGACAGTCGAATTTGCTCCCGGTAGGATTTCAAGGAGCGATCCCGGCGAAACTTTCCTCAGTTTCGCGAAAACCGCCTTTACCCCCGCCCTCGCTGTCCTTCTCCTCCTCTCTTCGTCACTCACGCTCCGTATATTCCGCTCTCTTTCCCTCTAGCCGCGGTAGCTTCATTAAAATTGAAGGTTCCTCGTCGTTGCCGCCGCCGGCTCGAAAGTCTGCGGAAAGCTCGCTCCTCGGCTTTCCGTCGCGCGACGACGACGACGATGACGATGGCAACAAACGCGACACGCTGCCGCGCACTTTATCGCCGTATTTAAAACCGGTCGGCTTCCCTTACCAACGTGCACGGCTTCGAGGAGCCGAGCACGCCAGGAAGAGAAAGGGAGAGAAAAGAGGGAATCGCGGGAGAGAGACGCGCGGTGGGAGACCGCATCTCGGCTTTCAGCCGGAGTCACGAAAAGTCCTTTGTGGCGCGCGAGCGAAGAGTTTCCCGAAAAGTCCGAGTAGATGCCGCCTAATGCCGCGCGTTTATCTCGCGATATATCTACCTCAATATCTCATTAAATGCGTGTAGAATTACACTTAAAGTTAGAGTTTGAATTAATATTATATTATATTAATATTTATATTCGCATTTGTATTAGTTTGGTTTAGTTTTAGTTACAATTTTAATGTTGGTATAGGTACTGCCTTTAAGACACACTAGTCCTAGATGTATAAGCATTACTGGGTTGGTATTGTGCGTGGAACTCGGATACTGCGCATGATTCGAGTTAAAGGGATCCGCATGTTACATAATTATAGCACAAGATACCAAATGGGTAGAATAGGCTTAGTTCCTAACCCTGTACCTTTTTGTACACACTTTGTATTCTAGTAAAAAAAAATCGCGATATATCGTGGCCGTAGGCGCCGCGTGCACGTTATAACGCTGTTAACACGGAGACTCGACATCTCGTCCGACAACGGAAAGCGCGCTCTCTCGCACGTTACGTTCTTATAATCCTCCTGTATATTATCCACTTTTCTCCCTTTGTATCCGGCTCTTTTATATTTTGTATTTTATGCTCGGCAGAGAGACGACAATCGCGGTGGGCAACAATGCGGGGGAGACTCGAGAAGTACGGCCACTCCTTTCCTCGTGGAGAATCTTCTCGAGCGACCCTCCGAGAGGAATTCTTGAGGAACTCTCTCTTCGACCGATCGGCAGCTATTTCCTCGGTCGCGTTTCTTACGCGGACCATCGTTTCGAGCGACTGAGAGATGCAAACTGTCCCCTCTATAATCCGTTTAACGTCGCCGGGAAATCGTATCGGCCGCTGACGGATTGTCCGGCGATTACCATTCCCCGGAATCCCGGACGGGCACGAAGCGTGGTAGCTTTCGAGACCTCGAGCGCGGGACCCACCCACCCGCTCAACCAATTGCGAGCCCGAATAAAGAGATGTTAAAGAGCACTTGTTCGGAAGCGACCAGGTAAACCCCCGAGGCTCTCTCGCGCCATTTAATTCGGATCGATGAGCTCGCTTTCGCCGTTCGCGAGACTGTTTATTCGGCGAATCGATCGGTCCGGCGGCCTCTCGGCTTCCCACGGCCACGGGACATCTCGATCGGCGGAAACGACGGCGTGATCCGGGCCGCTGTTACGCAATATGTGAACACCATTTACTCGGACGGACGAAGAAGAATCGCGCCCGATTTCACTGTGCGCGTCATCAGCTCTCGACAATACTCGGGAAAATGCGCGAAGGCGTGAAATAATAAAGGCAGGATGAACTCGCGCTAACCATCCATGCCCTATTGCTGTCAATTTTGAATGAAATTGACTCCAAATCACGCCATATCAACGTCTTTAACTCTTTAAGTATCACTGGTACCAATAAGAATCACAGTTGAAATCTTATAAATGTTTATTTAGGTCGTATTTAGGCCCAGTTCCACAACCTCCAGTTGACTGACTGGTTATTCCATTGGACTTGACAAATCCTATTTGACATTAAAAAGAGTTAATTAGAATTAACCAATCACTATTGCGACTTAACTGGTAGTTAAAATTAAACGGATGTTGTGGAACTTGGCCTTAGAGTGTTTTTGGCAACATTTTATTAAAAACAAGTTACTAGAATGTTCCATGAATTATGCGCCTTAAAGGGTTAAATGGATTTTCACCGGTAAAAGAATTTAATGCCACAGATATTCAAATAACTTTGTACGTGTTACGTGGCTTGTATTACTTTCTTGGATGAATTTGCGTATTGTGCGTAAATTTACATTAAAATCTAGCCTGAAAAAGGTAATTTGTTGATATGTGTATAGAAACCACATATACATGGGCGGGGAAAATGCCCGCACTTCTTCTTGCATCCCTCCTATAAAAATAAGGATTCTCATATTATCCCTTATTATAATTTTCTGAAATAGTTAAAGACTGATGTTAGAAGGGATTACTTTGTTGAATGTCAACTGTTTAAGGTTATCTCTACTGGACAGCCTGCTTTCACAGCGAAGAATATTATAATAAATTTCATTCTGAGACTGCAGTTAGGAATATTAGAGAAGATAAGTACGGATTGGTGTTGCCTTTTTACGGAACGGAATTCTAGACAGAGAAAAGTAATTTTGCTTTTTAGTAAAATCGTCATTGCTACTGCATATTTGTAGTGACATTAAAAAAATTTAGTTGACGTAACTAATTTTACAAATTATTCGTTATCAGAGCAGAAGTAGTTTCGTCGCCAGGATAGAAAAAATTTGTTGAGTATATTTGTCTTAAGAATCACGTTAATTTGCTATCGATGCAAAATAATATATCCACATTTATTTGCTATCGAAGCAAAACTGCAACTGCTTATATAAATTCATCATTGTTCTTATAGCAAAATAATTTGTAGATTCAGCAAATTATATCCAGCAAATAGTGATTAATATCCTCAGCAGATCTTTTTGCTGTCCATATAATAACGAAAAAATTTTGCTAGACTAGCAGAAAATTTGCTGGGTCAGCAAATTATTTTTCTCCGTGTACTCTACATCAATTAAAATTCTCCGATAATTTTCTGCCTATCCTCGGGCAGCATCTTGTAACGTCTTTAGTTACTACACATTTGGATTATTTCTGTTTTACTTTAACGGATGCTGAATAAAATTTACTTGTTTACATGACGAGCCTTAAATTCTGTCGTAAAATTCACTTTTTAAATCAAAAGAGATGTATACATTATATCCTACTTCCACAGATTATGTTATCTCAAAATCACGCTAGACGACAGAGATTACTTCGTGATAGAAGAAAACGCGTCTGTTTCATATGAAAAGTTCTTATAGAAAATTGGTTACAAATAAGGATATTAGAGCTGATCCAGGTGTTGGATTTGTTCGCCCTGCCTAAATGCAGAACGGAGATATTTAAGTGTTCGTTTAGATATTATGCAGCCAAGCTTTGAAATGATCTGCTCATGTATATTCCTAGTCCTAGCAAGTCGTGTAATGCAGTTATGAGAGAAAAGGAAAGGGGATAAATAGAATCTTATTGAAGATTCATCAAATCCTCGTCAGATTCTTACATAAATTTACAATGTATATAATATTTTATTACAATGTTGAGTATTTCAACTTTACAAAAATCATATTGTAAAATAAAGCATAATTTTAATATAATTTTAACAAACTACAACATTTTCTCCGTCCACTATTCCTAATATATTAACTTTGGCTAATATAATTAAAAATACCAAAGTGGCTAACATATTTGCATGACTTAAATACAAAACTCAGTTCTGTAAGGATTCCTTCAGGAGTTATTCAATGTGGAATGGAAATGTGGAATAACCTGCTACCACAGAAATTAGAAATAAGTGCACTACTATAGAGTTCAAGTGTGTATTTTACTCTTTACTCCTTAAAAAGAGCAATTTAAATCTTTAATTACTTTTTTATTTTTCAAATACTGCCATTATATCAACGTTCCTGCTATTTTCCAACCATCTCTTTTGCCTTTTCGTTTCTCAGACTTTGCTGTATATATTTCATTTTTACATATCTACATATTTTTGCATACTCGCGCACTTCTTTTTAG